TGAATCCCGGAAATGGCATTTGCATCATTCTGAGACACGCATAATCAGAAAACCCAAAATTCCAGGCGCCAGAGTATGCCTGTTTGCAGGTAATGCTGTGAATAATATAGTTAACAACAAAAATCATGACTAAAGACACCAAAAACGGATCAAAATTGGGAATCGACTCACATTCCTTCAATCCCATTTTTGAGGACTTCATTTCCCAGTGGCCAAATCCCAGTCCCAGCAACCCAAATCCCATTTTCCCAGTCTAAAAATAGATCAATCCCAGTTCCCATTTTACCCCTTCAGGGCCATCTATAGTAAATGTGCATGTTTAATTGCGCTTTATTACCCTCTATTAAGTGTGTTTTCCACTAGCGAATTTTTCTGCGCGAAGCGACCTTTTTCCTTTGTCGGCATCCATTTTGCAGCCCTCGAAAAGTCATAACCGTCAAAATTGAGGTCGGCAAAAGAGGGCCGACCTAAATCTGACCTAGGTCGGCACATCTCGGCATTTCTTAAAATCTGTTCCACGTCTTGGAGCACTATTAATGACGCATTTACGAATCATTGAAATCAGAATATAACTGGAACGTTACCTCCAGCCGGAAAATACGAAAGTTGGAGCCAAATTTTAACTCCAGACGCGCGAAACTTGATTTTCAAACATCTAACGTATATACGCAATACCCGTCAGTTTTTAAACCTTACACCGTTAGTGTGTTCAGTTAATCGAATTCGCTGACATTTTAAAAGCTATCAGCATAAAAATTCTTACTTTGGTTGAATTAAGGTGGGCAAAAATTTGCATTTAGCCCGGCATTGCCGAGTGCCGACCTCGTTTTCGAGGACTGATTTTGCCACGTCTTGCTGACGTAATAAGTGATACCGACAAAGGAAAAAGGTCGCTTCGTGCCAGAAAATTCGCTAGTGGAAAACCGACTTTATTGCCTCTTTTATAGAACAGTATAATAAGCAACAACAACAACAACAACAACAACAACAACAACAACCACCACCACCACCAAACAAATTTAATTACCTAATTATGATTTCAATAATATTATGTTTTTGGACTAGCTGCCAGAAGTGAAGATACTGTATTCGAAAAAATTTGCATTGCTGCATGTGTGGTTTCTTTGATGCATGCTATTCGTGATATTCGGTTTGAATTCAATTATTCAGGAGGTCAAGGTTCTTCAGTGGTTATATTTAGCCAATCCAGTTTTGCCGACTGAGATAACAATTTGCCGATTAGCTGACGAGTGGGGGGGGGGGTGTCCCCCCCCCTGTAGCGCCGCCCCTGAGAGTAGCTCAATCGGAATTTCTCACTGACTTCATTGATCAGAATGCGGACAATCAAGGCAAATTATTTCGAGCTGTGAAAGACCTTTTGGTTGAGAAGAACACGCTATGTTTCTCTGACTATACGGATACGACGGCACTGGTAAACGAGTTAGGGATGTATTTTGTGCAGAAAGTTATTCGGATTCGAGATGAGCTCGATTTGGGTATCTCGACTACGAAGGATGTCCCGGATTATAGTGACACTATACCTGACCCACCGGCTCCATCTGTTTTTTAATCATTTGCGTTGCTGACGGAGGACGATGTGCGCATACTCATTGCCAACTCTAAATCCACATCCTGCTGTCTTGATCCTGTCCCAACGCCTCTACTAAAATCATGTATCGAGTCTCTTATACCAGTGATCACTAAAATAATTAACACCTCATTGGAATCAGGAGATATCCCCCGAAGACTGGAAAGTGGCCGTAGTCAAACCATTGTTAAAGAAACTGGGCCTTGACCCGCTGTTTATGAACTTGCGTCCTGTTAGTAATTTAGCTTATATCTCTAAGCTCATTGAGCGTGCTGTATTTAATCAGCTTTATGACCACTTGGTTCAGTCAGGTCTTTATCCTCTACTGCAATCAGCTTATCGTCAGTACCATAGCACAGAGACAGCGCTACTCAAGGTTGCTAACGATATTCTTATGAATATGAACTCGCAACGCGTTACGTTACCTGTCCTTTTGGATTTAAGCGCTGCGTTCGATACAGTGGATCATGAGATTTTACTGTCACGTTTGTCTTCGAGTTTTGGTATTTGGGGAAAGGCTCTAGAGTGTTTTTTTTCATATTTGTCAGGGCGTAGCCAGCGCATCGTGTTTGACGGAGTTACATCAGACAGCTGTGATGTGCGCTTCGGGGTCCCACAAGGGAGTTGCCTTGGTCCTCTTCTCTTTGTTATGTACGCTTCAAAGCTTTTTGGGATTGTTCAAGCACACCTCCCTGATGCCCATGGTTTTGCCGATGATACGCAATTATACCTGTCATTCAATCCTAATAATCCCGCTCATCAAACGGAGGCGGTATCTGCCATGGAGGGATGTATTGGTGACTTGAGGAAATGGATGTATCAGGACAAGCTAAAGTTAAATGATTTTATGCAATAAAAATAATTAACTTCGAGAACGAATGTGTGCGTGTTATATTATAATTAACAAATATAAAACATTTTCCGTGTTGATATACAGTTATGTCAACACGAGTGGAAATTGGGAAAACGAGAAATTGTGTGGAAACACGACGCCCGAAGGGCGGAGTGTTTTCACACAATTTCGAGTTTTCCCAACTTCCACGAGTGTTGATATAACGATATATCAATACGGAAAAAAGTTTTATATTTGTTTTATAATATAGCAATGTCAAAAGCCCGAAGAATAAGAAAAATTTCCGTGTTTACAAGCGGCGGAAAATTTCCCGTGTTGACATGGAGTTATATCAACACGGCTCTTAGCCAATCAGCGTTCAGAATTTACAAATGCTATATTATAAATATTAATTATATATTCATATTAGTTATTATGCAGGTTTACCGAGATTATTTAAGCCGTGGAGCTCACAGGTATAGCTCATTGCTTGCAGATCTTTAAGTTCACAACGTCCCCACCCACCCAGCCCTTTTTTGGGAGGACATTGCTTGTTCGCACTGGTTTTCTTTGGGGGCTGGGGG